GGCGTTTGGCATCTTTTTTGTGTCACCAGCATACTAAGGCCAGTCTGAAATGATTTTATAGTACCAACTCTAACTAACGAGGCCACATGATCATGGGTTTATCTGGATCTTTACGAATGTTTAATTAATTCCAGTAATGCAAAAAAGTTACTTTTATCATTTCATGTATAGATCAGTAAAAAAACAAATGACAGATTTTTTCGACAAGACATTTCGCGCTACATTGCGTGGCATAGGATTGCTTGAATTATTATTGATATTGATTTTTAGTAACTAAGTCGTTGTATAATTATATTAATATACAAACACATGGAAATTTTCTGTTCGAAGTTGGTCTTCGAATTTGTCATATTGACTGCTGAGCTTATTGTGTTTTTTGATTGTATTGATGGAAATATGACAAATTAAACAATGTGCTTCAGAATTTTGTGAAGAGCAGAAATGTTACAACTCCCATTTTCTTCGAAAATGCCACCTTCTTCATGTACTTTGCGTTTAATTTAATTACTCAAGTGTTTTATTCAAGTATTCTTTTGCTAGCTTGATGTGTATTCTTAATTGGGTCAAAATGTGGACAAAAAAAATTAATATTCCAAAACTACTTTCAGTAAATTGTTTTCTGTGTGAATAATCAATTTCACTTTAGAAGGTTTGAAAAATCTATTACATTTAGATAAAAAAAAACTTCCAAAATACTATTACAATTATTGTTAAGCGTTCGAGGGCCGCACTGGAAGTTCTCAGGGGCCGCGAGTTTGAGATCCCTGGTCTAGATTGAAGTTGTTCAAAAAATATATGGTAGTATTTTATCATGAATGATGATTATACCCCTTCCGGAATTTCTTCTATAGTACTACCAAAAGTTGATGAACCAAATATAACACAGGTGCAGTGAGGTACCCGTAATCCTCATTTCCAAAGCTGTTTTAAGTATGTCTGGCGTGTTTTGTGCCTTTTTACAAATAAGACCGCTTATGCAATCTTACGCATTGGAATTTTTAGTTATTTTCTTCAAGCCCTGCAGGATGTGGGGGCCATACACAACTCTACCGGAGGGTCAAATGTCTTTGCATGCCTCCATAGGTTGTTTTTCTATTGCAATTTTCTATTTTCAATTGCATTATATTTCTTGGAATCACACTGTCACTGATATGTCGCCAGACTTCTGATATCTCCTCGTCTGCTATAGTTGTCCTGTGAATAAATAATAGAAAATTGAGATTAGAAATAAAAATAGTTGAAAGTTTTGCTTTATGTCGGCTTAATTTCTTGATTGATATACTTACTATTTCTGCTATTGCCTCTTGTGCTGCAAGAGTCTCACAATGCTCACAAAGGGGTAAGTAAATATGTAATTTCGGCAAATGGGCAACTACGTACCGTACTGAATTAATAACTTCGTAGTATTTGACAAAGGCTGGCTTTCCCACATGTACTCAACAGTGCGATGCCCGGGTGTGATATACAACAATAGTATTCACCTTACCTTTTACCGATTTCTTTTTACCCCAACTTTAAAAAATATCATTAAAATCGACAACAACTGTCAAAGCAGGCACGAACACCATTCGTGCTACGCCTTGAAAGCAGCACACTTCCGCTCGTTTTCGTCTCGTCAAGTATGTGCATTGGAGCGTGCTATCGAATACGATCTTCGGACAAAAATGCCGGAGTTGCGCATCATGTTGTTTAATGTCATTGATGCAATACAGCCTGAGATGCTGTCGATCGTTAGGTTAGCATTCAGAACATCGAACCATTTGCCGTCTAATCTTCCCCAGTCTATCCGATAAGCAGCATCATGTTCCTGAATACCTTCCTCATTGCTGCCATACGTTGCTGTTAGAAAAATGCAAAGAGAGAACATCAAACTAACAAATAAAATGTTCTTTTTCATCTTCAGCAAGCAACGATAAAATTATCCGAGTAATGTTGTGAACCTGTGAAAACTCAATGCTGCCGACTGCAATAGAATGCAGTTTTTTCTTTTCGATTGTTTTGATATTGAAGACGTGCTTAAGGTAGAACAGTACACCTCGATTTTATGTGCGATTCAAGCGTGGATGAAAAATCATCAAGCAAAAAATGCGTATCGATATGAATTCACACGACCCTCTACCTAATAAATGTTTCCTGTGCATATAATAGAATCAATTTTAGGCATATCTTGAATGCATATTATTCATATTTTAAAAGTATTCCGTTACCTAAAACAGTACGGTTGTGATCGACAAAAGCGTGATATGTGCCATTTATATATACAGATATATTTTGATCTGGATCTAAACCTACATAGCGTTGTATCGACGGGGAGATTAACTCACACACCAATGATGTCAAAATTCAGTTTTATTTTCAACCTAAATCCAGATCGACTTGAACAATCTACAATTTGTGACATATTCTATTTTTCGTTAACAATTTATCGGACTGTTACTTATGATAGCTATTCAAAATATCCCAATCTACGAAACTGTTGAGACTCAACCTTAGTTAGGAAATGGAATGTCCCGTCGCAATTTAACGAGTATTATGCCCCGCGCGGTTTTCCTGCTTCGCAGCTGAAAAAATACATTTGCTGTATGGCGCATCAAACTTCAAAGATATGTATGTTTAGGTTGTTCACATGTTCAGGTAGTCGATGTCTATGGTCCTGTTGTCAACTGCCATACATCGTTTATAGGTGTACGTGAGTTTAAATCAAAGTCAAATCATTTCTTTCATAGACTGAAAATTTCATTTGTTTCATTTCATCTTCTGCAGTATCAAATAAAGTAACACAATGGAAAATGATATCGATAGTGGATTTTGGTGTGTAATTCTTATAATTTTGGACGTAAATCTGAAGGACGGTATGCGACTGAAAAAATTAATTGACGCCCCAAATAAAGTTCTGCCGATAATCAGTATACGATTATTAATTTACCCCAAAATAAACACAAATTAAATTTTGATCCTAATACTATGCTAAGTTTATGTCGAAGAGACTTGCAACCACGAGCCCACTAAATGTCCTTATTCAATTGGGAATGCGACTAATGATTCCCTGTGTTACTTTCATAGCATACTAATATACATATTTTGAGTTTTAAATTACACCAGAGTATGAACGATGTATACATGATTTGAATATATTTTAACATTCCAGATAATGAATATATTTGAGAGAGTAATATTAGACATCAATTTACTCTTCAGTATAATTGTCAAAGTTGTCAACATATACACATTTAGAAAAATACAATTTCACAGCACTCCATCCATTCCCTATTTCAATCATTTTGTTGAATACTCGCAACAAATCTTCTGCGGTCGGATATCGGTTGCGCATTTGTACCAAAACACCCTTAGAGCATCCTTCAATATCTTCGTCAAGATAGACTGTGTATATTATGTAATTTTCGTAATCAGTATATGCAGAATAAGTCACCATCGGAAAATCCTCGGCCACCCTTTCCTCAGTTGTTTGCTGTTCGAATGACGATGCATCGATGTCTTTTGTTAAGTCACTCTGGAACTTGTTTCGATATCTATTTATAATTCGATATTTGTTGCCGCCTATGTAATCAGAGTGTAGAGGAAACATTTTAAAACTTCTTTTTTCGATATTGTAATCGTACAAATGTGAGCATACTCCACGTTCGGTTGATTTATAGTCAATGTTTACAACACATCCTGCGATGCTGTCGATCGTTAGGTTAGCATTCAGAACAGCGAACCATTTACCGTCTAATCTCCCCCAGTTTATCTGATACGCAGAATCGTGTCCCTGAACACTTTCCTCATTGCCGTACGTTGGTTTTATTAAAAAAAATGCAAAGTGAGAACATCAAACCAACAAATGAAATGTTCATTTCCATCTTCAGCAAGCAACGATAAAATTATTCGAGTATTGTTGTTTGTCGGTGCAACCTCAATGCTGCCGACTGCAATAGAATGCCGTGTCGTTTTGCTGTATGAGTTTTTTTCTTTTCGATTATTATGATGTTGAAGACGTACTTAAGGATAAACAGTACATCTCGCTTTATGTGCGATTCAAGCATGTATTGTAAGTTTTTAAGCAAGGAATGTAGATCGATATACCGTGAATTCACACGACCCTCTGATATATTTTCTAGGCATATGATATGACCAAGTATATATTGAATGCATGTTGTTCTTATTTAAAAAAAAAAGTATTTGTTCACACCCAAACGGGACGTTTGTCACAGTGATCACAAATAGGTTTTGATATTCAAGTCTGGACCTAAACCTATATAGCATAAGTATCGACGGATAGATCGACCCATACACCAATGATGTCAGAAGTCAGTGCAATATTAAACGTAAATCTAGATCCACTCATCCTATCCTATTTTTTGTTAAAAATTTATCGGACTATTATTTATTATATCTATGGTTACTTGTTCAAAATATGCCAATCCACGAAACTGTCGAGATTCAAACTTAATTGGAAATGCAAAAGTTCCGCCTCAATTTAACACCATATTATGCCTTGCGCGATTCGTGATGATTAGTAGCTGAGAAAATATATTCGCTATATGGCGCTTCTCCATCAAACTTCAAAAATATGCGTGCTGTTTAGGTTGTTCACAGGTTCATGTTCAGGCAGTCGGTCGATGAATGCTTGTCTTCAACAAGAGAGCTAAGCTCAAATATATGGACACGTCACAAGGTGTCGCTGTTTTTTATTCTGACACATAGACTTGCGAAGAGTAATGGAGATGTATTGGAAAGGAAAACGCTGTTGTTAATTTTCCAAACAAACACGAATCAAATTTTCACCGTGATACTATGCTAAGTTTATATAGGATAGACTAGCGGCCATCTACCTGCTAAATGTCATTAATGAATTTTTTTATGGTGCCCTAGCGTCTGATAGAACCTGGCAGCGGAAGGAAGTCTTCGCTTTTACTAGCTTATACGCATTTAAGTAGCGTAAGTTATGAGCGATAGATGCTCATACAGAATAGAGGTTCAGCTCGCAAGCCTGGGAAGTTAACTTATTTTATATGGAATTCAGTTTTTCGTTTCCAAAGTTCGCAAATGGTTTTGTCACTTTGAATTTTTTTTAGTTCACTCTAAGCTCACATTAAATAACTAGAATTTACGTCTAGCTTTGAGAATGAAGTTGTTCAAGGCTCTTGTTTTGACCGCAATGTTATTTGGTACAGGTGAGATGCATATATATACTGTATAATGATACCGTATTTGATATGTGATGGTAAGCATCATTGTTACACTGCATCGTCATTTCTCATTCTATTTGAAGACCTACTATTTTAGTTGAATGTGTTGGGGAGTAAAGTAGTGTAAGCTTTGATGTTCTAAATGGTGTTTGGTATTTGAATGTTTCATTCAAGTATAGCAAATCTAACTCATAATATTATTGCTATCATAATTGTCGAGTGGGCTAATTCGCGACAAGTTTTTTAAATATGGATCGGCTTGAGTTTGAAGACGTGTTTGACAAATCGGATACAGTTATACACAGTTTCGCGTGCATAAAACGTTAAACCTCGTGATAACTTTCAATGCAAGTATAAAGACTCTACGAAGGCGACTTCATATCTTCCATCGTATTGAATATTAATCACACCATCCTGATATGACGGTTCCATTTTGCGCAGGCATAAATGAGCCTTCGCTCGTGACTGTGCTCATAGCAAAGTATAGTGAGAACTTTCGTGTGACTCAGCCGACTAAAACTCCCGTCAGCAACAAGCGTATGCAGTTATTTAGGCAGAAGTCAAAATTGAACTAATTTATTTTGTATTCAAACTGTTAAATAATAATAACAGCGTATGCCAATCAAATAACATCAACCCTACGTGGCGTGTGAGGTATTTAAGCTGTACATCTATGCATGAAATGTTATCCCGTTCATTTCCCTCAAAATATTACAACATATGACGTATCAAAGGCAAATGGGAATATATGCAAAGTAGTTGTCACTAATAATAGTTGGTATTTCACTGCAATGGTAAGATTGGTGGCTCTCGTTCTCGAGAGTATTGCTGCTTGTTCTTCACAACTTTCTCCACCATCCAATCCCGTGTATCTAAACCCATTAATTGGTTAGCCATTGATTGCGGATCTATATAGGTGGTCTGTCATATGACTAAACCGTCTTTTCGACTTTCTTCTCATTAGAATCAACATAAAAAAAAATCCGCCTTATTTAATGCCGCTGCAGTAAATCCTAATTTTAATGTCATTGCGGAGGGAAAATTGTCCAAATAATTGTCAAATATATTTTTTTTGAAGATCTGTTTGTTTTTTACATACTTCTTCGTACAGGGTTTGCGATTGAATGCTACGTTTGCCACCAGTGTAACGATGCTGTACAACTGACAGACTTGAAGATTTTAAATTGTTCTTCTGTGTTTAGAACTTGCACAAAATCATCAGTAAACGGTTAGTATTGGGTATAGACTCATTTCATGTATTAAACTGATCTGTTATTTTCTGTTGCAATTCTATGAAGCAGTCGACATAGAAACAGTCATATTATCAGGATTAGTGTACTCTTCAATCTGCAATTCTTATATAGTCAGCAAAACACGCAGATCGATTGACGAAAACGTCCACAGGTCGTATAATGCTGACTAACATCCATTTAGAAAGTCGGTGGAATCTTACATTTTAGACGAATTTGCTGGAAGCAATGTCACACTCACTCACTAATAAGTAAAGGACTTATTTTTGAGTAAATTTAATACTTTCAAGCTTGGCATTAGTTTTTGTTATGGGAACAGCGTTTATGAGTTAATTATTGACAATATTGCCAAAATATGCCCTGGACTAGAGGGTGACCGTACATTTGAACCCACGTACATTTGAACCCATGTGTATATCCACGGGTTCAATCTATATGCGGGTGCTAAAACCCATGGGTTAGGGTTAGTATGGGTTCAACTATCCGAAAAACAAAAAAAATTCCATAGGTGCAATAGCATACAGGTGCAATTGTCATGGGTTCAAATGTACGTGGGTTCAAATGTAATGGAACCGGACTAGAGAGATACCGAAGTGAAGCAGCTGGTTGGTACACGATTGGTCAGATGGCTCAGTGTTTAGCTCTTTTATTCTTAATATGTTTATGTCCATGGACAAAGATATCAGGTTCAATCATCATACCTGAAACTCAACTCAACCAGAATGTAATTATATGGGTAGAATAGATGCTGAATCAAAAATAGATGCTGTTTCAACTTTTAAGAAACAGTGGATCTTAAATACCAGTGGCTCATCAAGAAACAACTTTTGTGAATCCTAAAATGAAATCCTAAACTTTGAAACCCTAAGAATTTTGAAACTTATTTTAAGGCGAAGTGACAAGAAGTTGTAGTGTGGGAGGTACTATAGGCTGTACTAGAGGCTCTACAGAAGGAGCAACAGGAGAAGCCTGCATTTGTCAAGGAGGTAGGGCTCTGTTAAAGATGTCATTTGATTTATTCATTTATATGTCTTTTATATATGCTCAATCACCATCCAATTCTTTTGCAGATAGATGCAATGAATCGAAAGAAATGAAGTCGACTATTTATATAGTTTTAACGGTTATACTAATAATTGTCAAATTTATTATATAAATGTCACTAAAAACTGTTATGTGTTAATCAATAAATGCTCAACGTTGTTTTATATACTTCAAATTGTTTCAAAACCCAACATTACAAAATTTTCACATCTCGAAAATTTACCAATACAGAGGAGATACATTGTGAACGTGGAAGGCAAAGGATTAAACTTAACTGAGGGAGAAGTGAAACAAAGATTGTCATTGAAATAACCTACTATATGCTAGACTCTGGCTGCTATAGTACATGATTACCTCATCTGATATGTACTGGACTTCTCTCGAATGGTCCAGAGGTCAGAAATCCGGGATTTCACCCAGACGGCCCTGGTTTTATCACCTCTCTAAGAACATTTTTTCATTAATTCACTATTTGAGTAACATTATTACAAATATGAGGACGTTTCAAAGTTACTAACGACCAGGTTTCTATATTATTTTAATTCATACTTGTTCAAGGGCCTAAGAGTCACCATTGATTCTTCGGTGCTCCAGAAGCATGCGCACCACGATGTCGCACAACCTGAATCCTAACCGGTACACACACATACTATGTTCAGGTTGTGCGCCATCTTGGTGCGCATACTTCAGGAGGTCCGATTCTTCTTTATAATAAAGTACGATATGAGAAAGAGCCACTTAAGCCTGTTCGTTCGCATCCTGTTGTCAGTGATATTTTAATTGTTCAGCCACGAAACAAAAGATAATTAATATCATCTAAAAAACTAAAGTAGACTTACATCCTTCGCAACAGAAGGATTGAAAACAATAGAATAGAGTCAATAGACCATTAAACTGTAACAATGATAGTAGTTGCTTGATTCATATTTTGTCTTGTGAAAAGGTAAGTTTCAATTATTTCCAATTTGGAAATATTTCAGTGCAACATTTTAGGATTAAAACTTTACGACCTTTTTGCGCCCATGGAAGGAGTCAAGGCTGCCACACCCTAGATACGCCCACTATGGGCATTAATATGATTTTAAAAACTATTTAATATACAAAAAACATTTCATTTATTCATATTACGTGTGCTTTATTACAGAATATAGATCGAACCACTGCGATAACAACTTTGTTGCGTAATCCACTTCTGAATATTGTACTTTACTTTTAACAACAAATCTTTATGAAAATACAAATTGAAACAACTTAAGCAAGATGTATGGTACACATATACAAAGCCACAAGTTGGTATCGTTATTTTAAGTTAAGTGAAATAGAATCAAGTTTATAAACTTTTGTACTCTTCGTTGCCAACGCTTTCCTGAAACCAGACCTCGTATACCGGCGATTTCTCATTTAAACCGGGTTCATATTGCGCGCATCTCCAATACTCGGAATTAAAAACTTTCTTATCATTCAATAACTTATTTTTAAGTAAGTTTGCCATTTTATTGCATTCTTCCATAGTGTTGTTGGTATCGTAAGTATAAACATACTGTAGAGTTTTGAAGCCTTTCGACATTCCATTTTCATCGCCAGTGTCTTGTAGGGGGTGATAATATTCGAATGAGTATCTACAGTTTTCGTCCTCGCTAAGCTCAGATTTTTTCACTTCTTTCGCCTTTGTTTTTATTACCAGCGGAAAAACCAGAGACATTGATGTGTATTTATGTACCGGTTCTGATAAAAATTCATGCATTTTTGTCCGGAATTTTGTTGCGTCGTATTCATCCATGCATGACGTTGCTTCTACCCATTGTGTATTGACGTATTCCCTTATTTGATAATCGGATTGTAACGTATAATGAGTTTCTCGCCACTTTGGTTGCAAGGATAACGATTCTTTGCTGTATCGACTTCGCCATTTTGTAGTGAAGTATTCACCATCGTTATCATTTGTACTTAATATTTCACCAGACTGCGTCACGTCGTGGTGCTCCTCTCCAGTGAAAACCACAGGTACAGCTATTGCCAATATGATTATTATATAAACGGTTGTCATTTTATTGGTGTTGTATGTGCATATGTATGAAAATAACCATCAAATGTGAGTCGACAATTCGATAGTATCGGGAGAGTACAAAACTATAAACTGTTGGAATTTAAGAACTGCTGTAAGTTGATATAATGTTATTACACTACAACATTTACTACAAAAATGTTTAAATTAACTTTTAGTCGCAAAATGGCCTACGGACACTCTATATCAGGGTGATCCAAACATTGGGCAAGGAGAATAAATTGTCGTGTGCGGGCAGGGCCCGGCCGATGAGATGAGTCGTGCTTTTCAACTCAACTTCGCATCTTAAACTCGCGTCAAGCAACTCTTATCTGGTGAAACGTTTGATTTGCAGAAGTAACCAAAAGCAAGAAACAATACATTGTTTTGTTTGGGCTTTATGTATCTTCCTTCAAATAAATAAAAACGCCACCCATACAAAATAACAATAATCTGAATAAACTTGCAGTATTTTGATCACTTTTAGGTTTTCCCAACTGCGACCCACAAGGCCTCCTCAAAATTTTTTGCGGCTCTTCAATCTGGCAACCTTGGACCACCCTGCTCCATATAAGCATGCATTTTCTATCTTGAATAATACAACTGTTTTTATATTTTTTACTGTACAATTACGTTCCATATTATCTTCGAAAAACATCAACGTTGCGAAACTGCCAACATGAGTAATTTATTTTAACAAATTAAGATCGCGTGATACAGAGCAACTCTAACCTCAACTTTTGACCAAATTTGCTTATTTGACAGAAGAATGTAATCCGAGATGTGATATTAAAAGCATTTTTCGTGACGGCTAATGAATCATATGGGCGGTGGAGTTGACGTTGTTTGTTTATTGCGATTGTGGACGTTTTTTAGGTCTTAGATTTAGGAAATTCTTGGAAGTCATTTACGTGGGATGACGGTATTTGTTAAAGGTAGTAAAACAGTTTATCTCAGGAAAGTTTTCGTGTCTGAGCACATTCCGCATAACATTTCGCGGTGAAAATATTATGACGATAATCGGTCTTATATATGTTCTTGTCACTCACAGAGTTGATAACTTTGTGATGTCATAAAAATAGGATTTCAAATTTAGTAGAAAATTATACTTTTTTCCAACTTTATTGGTTCGAAATAACAAAAAATGCAATATGGATTACTTAGTCAACATCCGGAATTTTACAGTGAATCAGAACAGTTATTTACATGGTTTGGTGTCTCTTTCGACTCGCTTTCACATACATGGTACATGCCTTCCAAAATTGTATGATATGTAGGTATATAACTACATCTCATTAGCATTCTTGACGTCAGTCCCAAAACGGGAATACAATGAAAATGGAAGAGAAAATGCACCCACGACATTATCACAACAAGCTTAATTTTGTATTTAGGATTACTCAAGAAACGTTATCTACTACATGTATATAACAATGCGCAGGACAATTAATCCGATTATCAACTATAATGAAATTTGTAAATTTTATAGTCTTGAGATTCAATATAATTCTTCATTTGTTTATAAAAAGTCATGACCAAAAATTGAATAGACACTCACACTTATTGAAAAGAGATATTACTACGGATAATCGAATCTTAATAAAATAGTTATGAATAAAAAATTTAAGAGTCAATGATTTTGTTTTAAAATTATTATCAGTAACTTTACTGAAAAGGGCATTTTATAAACACCCTGCTATATCAAAACCAGCTTGGTGTAAACGATGTGCTGTTCTGAAACCACACATACAATATCAGCTAAGTTGCCTTTATATTCGCTTGTATATGAGATGCTGAAGTTTCATTAGGTCGCATTTTCACTATGGTTTATTCAGAATTGTTTTATATATAAGTAATAAAAGAGCATAATATACTCGACCTGCTGGCTACGGGTCGACCAATGGCGCACGATTTCATTGTATCTCATTGTCCAATTTGATGCGGTTCTTACGTTTACGTAGAAGTTGTGAATTTTTATAATGCAATTGTAAAATATAAAATTTGTTCCACTCTAAAACCTTCGAAAGACAGAAGAGAGTAGAAATCTGGCATTTTCTAGAACTAAAAATGATTTATTTGGAAATAAAAAGGATGGATTTGGTAACAGAACTGGTATATTTTATTTGTTGCAAATATGAGGACATTCATCTAGAATTAATTTTAAATAATTTTACTTGAACGTTTATGTGATTTGATGTTCAGGTGCGCCGTGCTCATGTATTTTTATATGAAAACACTTCGAAACTGAGGCGCGTGTACTACACTAAGTCTTAATACTTCAAAATTAACTTTTATAATATGCCTAATGAAAATCACCCACTCCAAGACGTATACTGAACTGCTGTCAATACGACCCATGAGTCATATTTATTAACATGAATACATTTTTACTTGTCTCTTGTTTTATACCCGAGCACATTGTGATTTGAGGAGCTGGCAGCGCTAATTGTCAATTGGTGTATAATGTCATAATGATTGGAATTGATGAATTGTACAAATCTTTCAAATTGCGCTACTGAGAGCACTTGAATGCTTTGATGAAATAACATAAGGAAATCCAAGATAAAATTTGATTATCACATTTATTCCATTTCGTTAAACTATTCAACATATTGTCTGGCAATAAACGGGTAACACAGACATATAGGTATACTCATATTACAATTGCCGCATTTCTGCCACACAACTACCAATCGAATAAAGGGTACTCCCAAAGTATGTGAATCAGGATGGCGGACACCGGAACGTAGTATGTGTACCAGGTCAGGGTTGGGCCATAATTTAAGGTACAAATACCACGAGAGTCACTTGGCTAGTCCCCGAACTCGTAGTAGAACTAAAATAAAGAAAATTGGAATAAAACTATGGCCTGCTTTCACACAACTCTTGAACCAACTCTTGATTTCTATCGGAAGTTTGTCTTTTCTGAACGGATGTACATTTATCAATTTTATTCATCCATATGCTAGTTATGATACGCTAATTAAAAGCAAAGGCATTTAATGAGTCCATGCTGCGCTTAATTAGTGTGAATTAAAAATAGTTATGGTAAAGTGTAGCATATAGCCTACAGATAATACCAGTGCTTGTGTTCGAATGGTTAGTACAAAAAAGAGATTCGGGCTTTCTGATATAAGCATTGTCTTTCAATTTTAGCAGGCTTGTCCATGGGAAACGTCCCATGGGATGGGATGGGGCAGCACACATTCGTATTTCCCATGGGACATGAAAACCGTTTTCAGAAAACGGTATGATTTTCGGGGAAATGATGGTAAAACATTTCGTCATGGATTTCGTGTCCATATTGAGCATAGCTCTCTTGTTAGTTATAAAGAGAGGGGGAACTCCTGAAGAGGGCTGATGGACATATGTATATATAATAGTTATGAATATAAAGTTCGTAAATTTCGTTGTTTTACATGCCTATAGTCCTATTTAGACGCCAAACCTAAACTTAACAATTTTCATTGAATTTTATTTTAATTGGAATCCATGAGATGGGACAGGCATACTTGCGATGGGATGGGAATGCGACGGGAAAATATATCCCACGGACAAGGCTGAATTTTAGTAAATATAAAAAAGATGATCAGATTTAACTATCCATTAACTATAAACCTAACTTTTCGTGTTGACAATTGTTAAAACATAGAGAGATTTTGTGGTTGTTATCGAATATGGAACTGATGGTTGTTAACTATATGCGGCTAATATAGTATTTTGAAATTGTAGAACTGTAAGCTATTTACCATGCCTGTGGTGGTGAAGTCTGTCACCCCTACATATTTGAGCGCATGTTGACTAAACGACATAAGTACTTCTATTTGGCGTGACACAACCATTTTTTGCATATGTTTCCTAACCCCCACCTGGCTCTGTCCTCCAAAGATGACGCCACTACGACCTCACAATTACATTAATGCCAAAATATAGCCACGATCGTCCCAAATGGCATCTGCATCTCTCTCATATCGGGCTTGCTACCACGCAAAAACGAGAGAAATAGCTTGCTCGATTTCGAGTGATCTTCTGCGCGTCTTGGATGACGGTTAGTATAGTTTGGAGGGCATTATTACGTCACTATAAAGTCGCGGTGACGTAAATTCTCAATTACGTAGTCACGTGAGGGTTAGGAATGGATGTACCTTTTCATCCAGAAGTTCTTACTTCGTGTTGTGAACATGACCCCATATTTGTACACTATTACAACAATTACGCGAAGCACAAAAACATTACTGCAACTTGAATTGTATACGAGACATCTCTACCAGATACCAATACGATTAGAACTCAAGACTTGTTTAATTGAAGCTACACAAAAGGGTTTGTACGTAGAACTAGAAGTAGCCTACCACGGCTTGACAAATAGCACGTGATTTTTGTGACTATTGTTAATTTGCTGCTAATTGCTAATTGCGCTGGGTGTTTATAGTTTAACTGTCTGCACTCACGTGTGCTAAAAAGAATGCCCCGTTCACTTGGTACAGTACTATTGGTGAAATGAATAACTTGACTGCATCAGAGAACAAATTACTAATGGAGCTGGAAATAAAAATATCGGAAGGAAAAGAAAGAGTACATGAGTTACAAAATAAGCTACAACTCTTGCGTGAATCTAGAGAAGAAATGTTAAAATTGAACGACAAAAATTTTCAACAAACGCTAATCATTGATTACCAAAAATCTTGGCCAGAATTCGATCGAAAATTAATTGCTTTCATTGATGACGTATTTCATTTGGAAGTTTTACAGGCGATCCATTGTTTTCCAAATGATTCGGACATGAAAGCTGTTTTACTTTCCTTGCTACTTTTACAAAAATCATACAACCTGAATGCAACTGATATCTTGCTTTGAAATCTTGCGCTAAGACATGGGTAAGTCTTTGCCTAGATTGGGTCCATGTATCTTTGCAGCGTCTTGAATCTGGAGAAACCGCAGAGGATATCACTAGGAAAGTCTTAGAAAGGTTAGTTTAAATGATATCAGCCAAGGAAGAGTTCAAAAAAATTTGTGCTGGACAAGGTACAATGCAACGCAAACAAAAAAATCTATATTGTCAGATGTGGGACAATTATATCCCTGGTTGATTCTGCAGCCAGTGCGTATGGAAATTCACTCGATATCACCTGACGTTGTTCAATTTTACGACATAATTTCAGAAGAAAACATTGAGCTTCTCAAATCTCTTTCTATGCACCAATTAGCATCTGCTAAAACGATGGCTCGTGAAACAAAAATTGATGTTGAGAGTCCCCGAGTAGCTCACCACTGTTGGTTATCGAAAACGAACAACACTGTTCTTGAATATCTCGACGTATTGGTTTCAGCAATCACTGGGTTTTAAGTTTCAAAATCAGCTGAGCAGCTTCAAGTTGCAAACTATTGCATTGGAGGACATTATGAACCACACACAGATTACTTGGATTACTCTGCTGAAGGAGAACTCAAATCAAGCAATCGCAAAGCTACATTTATGTTCTATTTATCAAATGTTGCACAGGGAGGGGCAACCGCCTTTCTTTACCCAGGAATTGCAGTCCACCCGATTAAAAGAAGTGCTGTTTTCTGGAATAATCTCCTGCCTTCTGGCCAGCCAGATAATAAAACAACCCATGGAAGTTGCCCTGTATACTTGGAGACAAGTGGGTAGCTAATAAATGGATAAGAGAGACAAGGAATGAAGTATGTAAAATGACAGAGTATATCGGAAGATTGCATTAAAACTTCATCATTCATTGGATGATGATTATCAATCATTGCTGACTGTATAAAAAAAAATTGAAAAAAAGATATTATTTAATGCATTTAGATACTGTGAAAACTACCTTGAATCACAGAAAGTTGAATAATATTTGGAGGTACTCCTGAAGTATGCGCACCAAGATGTCGCATAACCTGAACCCTAACCTGGTACACAACCTGAATTCAGGTTGTGCGCCATCTTGATGCGCATACTTCAGGAGGTCCTATTTGGACACTTTAAAGCTGCATATTTTCAATGTATATTTAAGAACAAATGCCCAGTTACTTCTAGAATTGATTACTCTACTGAAAATAAAGTACAGTACTGCTGTTTTCAGTACGCTTCATCAACCTTTTTTCTGTTCTTCGCCCTTCCAATGGTTTCCCCGTTAGATACCTAGATGTCACCTGGTTGTGATCATGAAAACTAAAGCAAGCAAGAACCGATAGAAAAGTGTTTTCTTAAACTAAACATTTGTTCGTTCAAATAAAATTATTTAGACAATTGCCAGTTTTATTGCAGATAGATTTACGCAATTTTAAGTTGTTATTCCTAACCTCTGATGCAACTCGGACACTAATTAGATTAAACAAATTTAGTAGGGATAATGCTGGGAATTAATAGGATAGCGCTGCCAAAATTAAAGTATGAAGAAAAGAATATTATATATACACCTTGTATATATTTTAAAAGATACATCTCGTTCCATCCAGAATTTTACCGGACCCATGACAGCAGTAGCCTAAATCCAGTGGTGGGATTCAAATTTTTTGTCAGCCGGTTCCTTCACAAAAGTCATTTTTTCCACCGGTTCTGTTACAAACAGAACATTGACAGTAACCAGTAATGCTATCCGGTTCGCTGATCTCATAAAATTCCGTGAGACGGTTCTAAAGAACCGGTGCGAACCGGCTGAATCCCACCACCGCCTAAATCGTGGGGTGGCTCCTAGCTTACGCTTACCCATGGTCGATTGCAGTTCAATGATTTCATTTTGCCTAAATTAGCAAGAATACATTTTCAGTTGTTCCCTTTTTTCATACCCGGGCATATTGCGATTTGAAGAACTGGCAGCGCTATTTGTCATTCGGTTTAAAAATGGCATAATGATTGGAATGAATGAGTTATACAATTCCGCTTTAGATTGCAGTAAATGAGAGCACTTGAATGCTTTCATGAAAAAACACGAGAAAACCCAAGATAAAATTTGATTATCACATTTATTTCATTTCATTAAAGTATTCAACATATTGTCTTGCAGTATACGGATAACACAGACATAGGTATGCTCATATTACAATTGCCGCATCTTTTCTGTCAAACAATAACCAATTAAATAAAGACACGAATATGACACGATGTATATACACATAGACTGCTTTCACACAACGCTTGAACGAACAGACTGTTGATTTCTAGCGGAAGCCCGACCTTTCTAAACGGGTGTACATTTCTCAATTGTGTTCATCCATATGCTATAGTTATGATAATTTTAAGCGAACGCATTTCACGAGTCGATGCTGCGCTTAATTAATATGATTCAACAAACATTTATGGTGAAGTGCAGGTAGCAGATGCAGATCAGATCAATGCTTGTGTTCGAAGGTTCAGTATAAAAAAGATATTCGTGCTTTCTGATATAAGCATTGCTTTTTAAATTTATTGAATATAAATAAGATGATCAGATTTAATTATACATCGACTATATAAACTCATTGTATTAACAATTGTGGAAACGTAGAGCGGTTTTGTATAGTTCAGATATGGAATTAAGGGTTGTTAACTATACTATATATAACTAATATATATAGTATTCTGAAATAGTAGACTTGCCTGTGGTGATGGAGTCTGTGTCTGAGATAATTTCGCCAGTATCGGATTCCGAACCTTGGTCGGAGTCAAAAAATGTATATTCCACGATAATACGATTCGAACTCAAAATTTGTTTAATTTAAGCTACACAAAAAGACTTCGCACCTTGATGTAACCGACCACGATTTGTCAAGCGATTTTTGTGACTATTGTTCAATTTGTAAAGAGTTCCTGTTCGTGAAAACGTGCAATATTTGTTTCTTCTTTGGTATAGTTTGTAAAGTATTAACGTTTTAATTTTTTTTAGATCTTTGTGGTTACAGAACTTTACTGGTATGTCAAAAATGAGAAACAATATTCAGTGCTTGGTGTTTATAGTTTCACTATCCACACTAACTCGTGCTAAAAATGATGCTCCGTTTACTTGGTACAGTACTATTGGTGAAATGAATAACTTGACTGCATTGGAGAACAAATTACTAATGAAGCTGGAAACAAAAATATGGGAAGGAAAAGAAAGAATACATGAGGTACAAAAGAAGTTACAACTCTTGCGTGAATCTAGAGAAGAAATGTTAAAATGGAACGACAAAAATTCTCAACGAACCCTAATCATTGATTACCAAAAATCTTGGCCAGAATTCGATAGAAAATTAATTCCTTTCATTGATGAAGTATTTCATTTGGAAGCGTTACAGACGATCCGCAATTTTCCAAGTGTTTCGGACATGGAAGCTGTTTCACTTTCCTTGCTACTTTTACAAAAATCATACAATTTGAATGCAACTGATATTTCTGAGGGGTATATTTCAGGAAATCGTGCAGGTAAACGTTTAAGATTTGAGGCATGTGGATATCTTGCTTTAAAATCTTGCGAAAGAACATGGGAGAGTCTTTGCCGAGATTGGGTCCATGTATCTTTGCGGCGTCTTGAATCTGGTGAAACCGCAGAGGATATCACTAAGGAAGTCTTAGAAAGTTTAGTTGAAACAATATCGGAAAAGGAAGAGTTCAAAAAAATTTGTGCTGGACAAGGAACAATGCAGTCACACAAACGCCAACGAGAAAATCTATATTGTCAGATGTGGGACAATTATAAACATCCCTGGTTGATTCTGCAGCCAGTACGTATGGAAATTCACTCGATATCACCTGATGTTGTTCAATTTTACGACATAATTTCAGAAGAAAACATTGAACTTCTCAAATCTCTCTCTATGCACCAATTAGCATCTGCTAAGACGATGGCTCTTGAAACAAAAATTGATGTTGACAGTCATCGAGTAGCTCACCACTGTTGGTTATCAAAAAGGAACAACACCATTCTTGAATACCTCGACGTATTGGTCTCAGCAATCACTGGGTTACAAGTTTCAAAATCAGCTGAACAGCTTCAAGTTGCAAACTATGGTATTGGAGGACATTATGATCCACACACAGATTACTTGGATTACTCTGCTGAAAGAGAACTCAAATCAAGGAATCGCAAAGCTACATTTATGTTCTATTTATCGGATGTTGCAAAGGGAGGAGCAACCGCTTTTCTTTATCCAGGAATTAGAGTCCACCCGGTTAAAAGAAGTGCTGTTTTCTGGAACAATCTCCTCCCGTCTGGCCATCCAGATAATAGAACAACCCATGGAAGTTGCCCTGTTCTACTTGGAGACAAGTGGGTAGCTAATAAATGGATAAGAGAGACAAGGAATGAAGTATGTAAAACGACAGAGTATATCGGAAGATTGCATTAAAATTTGATGGTTTTCATGTTGCGGGGTTGATCATCAGATTGTGATCAACCATTGTTGATTAGCGAAAAAGATTTTTGAAATTTAGAAAGTGCTGGGAAATATGGACTTCCCAAAAAATTGATAATTATATGAGTTGAAGATTAATTCTGTCGAGCCATTACTGCCATTTCAAACAGGACTTTTATGCTATGAAAAACGATCTCGAATAACAGAAAAGTTTAATGATATGTGAACATTTTGAAGCTGCATAATTTGAATGTTTTTTTATTAATAAAAAAATGATCAGTTATTTACACTAGATTTAAATATTTTACTGAAAATAAAATACTGCTGTTTTCAGTATGTTTCACCACACCTCTATCTGGTTGTCGTCCTTTCAATGGTTTCCCCGTTAGATGCCTAGATGGCACCTGGTTGCTAACCGAAGTATTACACATTTTGCTAGGCATGACTGCGAGAGAAACGCGCAAAAAACTGAAATGATAGATTTTTGGAGAATTTCGGGCCATGTCAACAATTGTTTGCATAGGCTAAACCGGAATTTTTTTTCCAAACTACTGCTAACTTCGTGCATGAGACTTAATCATGAATAGTTTTCAAACAAACCAAGTTTCTGTGCCTACAGTCATTGGGTCTTTTAGCATTCTTGGCGATTTTGTTAAGTTCCAACAAGTTCGCCTACGTAAATTGAACAATGCTGTGTCTAACGAATTGTCACTATTAAAATGCAGTATGTTCAATATGCATAATAAGCAATATTTTAACATGTATCAACTTCCTTGTAAGCGGCTATAAATCATTTTGACAGCTAAATAGCCGAGTTCTTTATTGTTTAGACAAATAAAATATCGCAAAGAAAATATTATTATTTGATCCCTCCAGATGGGTTTATTTGTTCAGGAAATTAAGGACATGGAAACTGAAGCAAGCAAGAACTACTATAAAAGTGTTTCCTTAAACTAAAAATTGATTATCTATTTGTAAAATTGAAATTACTCAGATAGTTGCCAAATTTATTGCAGATAGATTTACGAAATTTTAAGTAGTAATTCTTAATTTCTGATACAACTGGGAGAATGCGAATATGGGGAATAATGTTAGGCATATATGAGATAGCGTTGTCAAAATTAAAATATAAAGAAAGACCATTATATATTTCACCTCGTTCCACACAGAAAATATTCAACCGATATTCTTAGTTAACAATTTATTCTGATCTATCTATTCAATTACGTGGTGTCTTACACTGCGGTTTTGGATTCATGAATTTCTCTTACAACTGTCTATGTTTCATGCAGCCTGAACCGATATTTACTGGCGGAACCACCGCAGCAGTAAATCTTGGGTTGGCTTCTGGTTTATCCTTACCCATGTTTGCTTGCAGCTCAGTGATATCTTCACTTTTCGCTTAAATGAGGGTTCTTAAGCTTTTTTAGATCAAACCTACTAAGAAAAATTGACCGCCGAATGAAAAAAACAAACAAGTTATATTCCATTTGCCAACCTGAAATGTTGTTACATATACGAATCAGGAGTCAAGTTTCTGAGTCGCTGGGTATGATGTTATCCATATGACGTAGATTCATTTTAGTGGTAAATTTTGTTTTTCGAAGCTTGTCTCTATCCCGATGAATCATCTTCAAACTTGATCTGATGACGATCTGCCTCTTGAGTCGCGCTTCGTTATATAGGTTTGTGTAGCATTCGCGTTCTGGGTTGTTGAACTACGTTTAAAAAAGTGCAGGCAGAATCGCTAATTATATCGATGTCACGTGATGATGTTTTGTTTACATTTGTATTTCCAGTGCTTTGACGTAGAAACAGCTGTGTGAGTCAACATGTAATTTCGAATCCGAAATTGAAGGAAGCACACGTAGAGTAATTTTTGTAGTAGTTTTGCTGTAACGTGAGTAGAAGGCTGTAGCTGAGAACTTGGAGAACTTAGAGTTAAGGCTGCCACTCCTGCCAGTTAAATAACCATGGCCGGGACATTATAACAGAAGTATAGGGCCATGGTCACAACACGACGTAAGTACTTATATATACTTCTAGTTAGCGTGGCTCAACTATTTTTGCATATGGTATTAGTAACCCCCACCTGACTACGTCATTCATAAATTACGTCACTACGACGTCAAAGTAACGTAATGAGGCTTTCCGAACTATACTAACTGTCATCTAAGACGCGCAGAGGATCACCCGAAATCGAGCAAGCTATTTCTCTCGTTTTCTCGTCGTAACGATCCCGATATGAGTAAGATCGCTGGCGTTTGTGACTTCGTTATCGTTGGTCATTTCGGGCGACCGTAGCTATATATTGGCAAGCTCTTCAATGTGATTGTGAGATCGCAGTTACGTATTGTTTGGATGACGGAGCCAGGCGGGGAAATAACATATGCAAAAATTGTTGTGTCTGGCCAAATAGAAGGACTTACGTCGTTTAGTGAACATGCGCCGGAGTTTTTTTGGGGAACGATTCTACCGCAAAATTGCAGTTTGCCTGTTTTGTGAAGGCAATAAATAAACGGTGGTCTAACTCGTTAATGTCAATGGGCATTTTCGCGAATTACTGAGGTATTGGAACCAATTGTTCACGTGGCACTAGAAGCCTACATTATATCGAGAGCAGTGAACTGTTTGACAGTAATGTGAGTCGCGAAAGTTTATACGTTATAATATCGGTAGAAATATCTCGTCGGTGAAACCTGTAGCAGTTTCTTGTCAAAGAACGTATAGATGGATCTCGATCGATCGAAAATTAAACGTACGGACGTGGAAAAGCACTTTGCAGTGGTAATGGCTGTTCAAATGTGTGTCATCTGACGAAAAAAACAGCATTATACGTTTTTCTAGAATAAATTTCAGAACGATAAATGATGTGAAGTTTCAGATTAGAAATGTTTCGATACAGATTAAAGTGAAGTTATTGTTTCGTATTGAAATTTAATTATAGATGTACTTGACACTGGTAAATTACTCCATACCAAGCTTAGAGCATTGATGCATAACTTCACTCACGTTGTTTTAATATAGCAATTCATTTAGAACAAACAATGATGTACAATATAGTTGATTTTGTTAGATACAATCAATATTTCAATGTGCGATGATTTTCGGTCAGAAAAGTGATTTCTTATCTAAATATTCGATTTTATATGATAAACCCCGATTAAATGGCGATGATTTCGTTGCGTAAATTTGCCAGGATTTAAAACAGAAAAAATAGTTAGGGTAATAATGCGATTCTCCTGTTTTAAAATGATATTTAAATGCAATAAGAAGCCACGTTCATTTCAAAGTTAGATTGTATCTAATTTGATGGTTTAGCTACATTGAACCAAATACACAATTTCGAGTTTTGCATACATAATATGAAACATTGATATCGGAAATTGTTGAAACAAATATTGCGTTTGTATTTGGACAAAAAATCAAAAGTAAATAGAAATAAATGACAAAGTTTGACACATTAGTCTAGTCTAGGAAGTATGTGTAATACTGGAAAGTAACATTCACGTTTCGAACATAGGTCAAGTTTAGAGATGCTGTTAGATCTATAATCTTTCCGCCTTGCGATTGTCAATACCTATTTAACTCAATTTGCGGACTAAGATGAACAAATCAAATTAACTCACTATGGTTAAAAAAACAATAAAAACAATTTCAGTCATCATGACGTTTTCTTCGTAATGTAATCAATTTCATTTATTATCTTTAATTATAAAATAATGTACACCTGAAAGTACTATATCAAGGACGCTAATCATCCATAATTCTCCTTAAAATTAACGTTAATTGGATCAATAATGCGTATTATATTGTAAAGTCCGGGGTCCATACATGTTCCAAGTATAATTCAATAACACACAGCGATAAAAACTTACGGAGACGAATGGAACGATACACTTGGGAAATACCTGATCCTTTCAAGTCATCTTAACTGTGTAAAAAGATCGGGAAAACTAATTTGGATTTTTATTAATAGCAGGCTCGATTAGCAGTCTAATTTACGTTTCAAACTCCATAAGTTTACCACTTTTGATGGGACTCTAGGTTAAATATACACTTAGGCGGTGAATATAGAATGAGTTTAACTGATAGTAGCCAAAGCAATAGGTTTCCAGGAGTTAAAAGAAAAGGTTTTTAAATAGCATGAAACGAAGAGAGAGAATTTTCGAATTTATTCCGAAGTTCAAGGATTTCCGTCCTACACGCATAAATACGATATTTTATAAAAATAGTCACTTACATCATTTGAAACGCAAGTAGTGCATGTACATGTAATTGCATATATCGGTACCGACTTGTTCAAAAGCAAGCCAATGGCACCTATTCAGAACTGGAAACTCTCTCCTGATAGCAGCTGAGGCAGAGATGTAAGTCGAGCCAAGCAGTGTGAGTTGAGTTCATGTTAGCTCCGAGGACTCTATTTTAAAATTGACAAAGAAATGTTCTCCATAGCCCACAGTCCCAAATCATCGATTATGTATAACAGATCACGTAAGCTGACAAAGATAATAAACATTATTTAATTGATTGGGATGTATATGTCTTTGGCTTGGCTCCAATTTTTGAGGTTGGTTTCCGTGTCACGGATTGCATTTTGGAGTTGTTATGATACAAGTTATGGAAGCTATACCACTTACAACTACTTAGTACTAAGATAAAGTTATGTACCAGAAAGATCTTCCGCCCAAACTAAGGTAAAATTTAAATATCAGTCAAGGACACTAAGGTCGCGGAGGAGTTGGCAACAGTATCAAGTTGAAATGAAAGAAAAGCAGCTTTGAAAGAAAAGGCGTTTATTTACTCCAAATACAAGTCTGATGTTAAGAATATTGACGCCACCTAATGTTTATCTTATATTCAACTCCCCATAGTTTTTGTAGTTTTGAAAAAGCAAATGCGATTGAGACATGTATATAAATCTGTTTCTAAACGCCAGCCATTTTAATATTCATCCGAACAGGTGTGCATAGCTTCTAATATGAACAGTAAGTACTTGTATTTTCAATTAGAAACGAGTTCGAGGGTATAATAATCGTTGTTAAGATCTAATTGTAATATGCTATTGCTACTTCACAACTTTAATTACTAATAAACTATTTTACTGAATAAAAACTAATCGATTTGAAATTGATCTTTTTCTGTTATTGAATGATGTTTACAATATTAATAAAAGTAGTCCAAGTGGCACTTCATTGTCAATGATATGTCGAAACCAAATTCGTTTGGTCATGTTTGTATTTTTTCAGACCTGGTCGCCTCGCTAACCTAGAACTGAACCAT